ATAAAAAAAATAATGATAATAATAATGACCAAACAACCCCCGTATATTATGCAGCGGGGTTTACATGTGTATTTATGTTATATTATATGATACGACGACGTGTGTGACATGTATATTATCTCGAACACGGGGTAGGATTCGCGACAATGGAAATGGCCTCCGGACATAATCCTGTGCATATTATATATATTATTGTGTTTTGTGCGGTGTAAAACATCTGTGTTATACACACATAATTTTATATGTATATAGTGTACATACGCACTGCATCTATAAAGTGCACTCCTCGAGTTGCACCGAGGTCGATAGCCGTCCGCTTAAAGGGTACTTAATAATATAATATAATACGCGTGTTATTTATTACACAAAAAAAATTATCACATGTGTTACGATGATGATTTTAGTCGCCCCCTACCTCCTGCAGCAACCATACCGAACTCTCCCTATCCGTTTGACAATATATTATTATGTGTCTATATGCGATTTTTCTACGTGCATTGTCTATACTCTCTATATAGCCTATATAGTTATATTATTCGAGCATATATATATTTTTTTTTTACCTATTGTGTAATCGGGTATATAATACTTGGTAATAGATCAATAGAACTGCGACATAAAACCTAAACAATGTTTTACAACAAATTGATCTTAAATAGTAATTATTAAAATACATAAGTGCCAATAATAATATAATACCTATACATATAATGCAGATTGTGAAAATGTTACCCCAAAACACTCTCATTGTACTTATAACTATTAATATTTTGAAAATTATTCCTATATTTGCATAATTTTAAGTAGCTATAGTTATACACGAAACAGCTGCATTTTTAAAAACAATTAATATATTTTTTTACTATTTTTTTTATCTTTATGATTTTTTTAAACTTTTATTTGAATGACAACTTACAGTTTTAATTTCAAATTCCGAATCCACATATTGTTCATAGAATTTCAATGTATAAACATCAAATTTATGCGACTAGTTAATTTAATATTTATAGTTTAGATGATCGGAGTAGTGGACCAACATTTGTTGGGTATATATCCCTTTTGACACTGTACACTGCTCATCATAACTTTAAATGCTCATATACCTAAATACCAACTCGTCTAAAATTCGATTTTTTTGGTAACTAAGTGCTCTGAAAAATATCCTACTGTCAATCAAAAATGTAGAAAACTTGAAAAATGATGGCCATAACAAATAGTAATAATAATATTTTAAAAACGTTAATATAATTTTTTAAATAATGATTGTTCTTCGATAAAAGTATCCAATATACATTATAATATTATTACGGCGGAGCAAACTTAATTTTTGTAAATATATAATACGCAATATATAGGTAGGTATATAGGTATGTAAATAATATTTAATTTTAATTTTTTTATAGCTACTGTCATTTGCGTAATGTTTTGATATTTTAGACTCGCAAATCGCAATGGAGGGATGAATGCATTTTTAATTATATATTATTCCATATCACATAATTGTGTGTTTCAGACATTTTCAGTTGTCTTTTTATCTAGTTTATTTGATCGTTTTGTTTTTGTCACTTTTTTAATCACAATGTATTATACCTAAGGTTTTTTTATATAAGCTGGCACCTACCAAAATAATATATTTTCAGTAATTTTAAAATACTCAAGTCTCAACATTTAGTTAGCAGTTAGCACTATTCAATTTAGTCTATAATTTTTGCACGTATATTATGTTGTTTATATTAGTTGTATCTAATATTATATATGATTTTTAGCGAATATATATATATACCTATGTTTGAGATACCATAAATCCCCGATCCTATAATTATTACAGATACGTATATTTTTTCTAAGTGCGATTTCCGTCAATGATTTATGGAGTACCTATTTATTTAAACGAAATTCCATGTACCTATATATATTCATATAATATGGACCAGCGGTGTTGTATTTTTTCATTAAAAAATTATTCGCTTGATTAATTTCACACAATAATTTGGCAATTAGGCCATGCGGCGGAATCATGAATTATTATTAGTACTATTATTATTATATGCGTTTTATTAAAACTCGTTTGAGATATTTTCCTTGTACTTATATTGCTTATACCTGCGAATAATGTTTCTCGTGAACTGCGCTATATAGGTATACGTATATGCTTATATAATATATTATTATCACCGTATATTAGTACTTCATACACACGTTTAAGTGTGCACGACGCTGGTTAAAAATAGCATGTACGCGCCTTGTAAAGCCATGTTAACAAACGGTGCTCGGACGATATTATTCGTATAATATCGTGTATGACACGAGGACAAAATACTGCGGCAGGGTTAACCGTCGAGCATATTATAACAATATATTATTATGATATTCGAGGACAAGACGATGGTTCTCGTTAATGAGATATTTTATTATTAAAAGCAATTACGGGGGTGAGAAACATACCATTACCTCATCATAATCCGTTGTGCCTATATAGCTGTGTATTTACTCCACGTGAACGTTTATAAGTGATACCAGACCACTTCCGCGAGAGAGCACTTAACTCAATTACCACCCTAAGCGCTTATGGTGACCGCGTGTGTCTTCTTCCGTTTTTACAACACTCCTGGGGACCACTGATGCTTTCATCTTTAATGCACTTCTCTTCATTTATCATACCGGAAACTGTTCAACTGCATGCGTACATATATATTATATATATAAGGACGCACGAGGTACGCGAAACCGACCGTATACCACTTACCGTAATCCACAAACACGGACGTTGCATATTATACTATATTTCCTCCCCGCCTCACAAACTACATCATTTTTCAAAAGTTATACTAAAAAAAAAAAACTATTTAGAAAATTATTTTCCCCCAATTTTATTATTTGGTTTCTGCCGTGACAAGGAATATAATTTATAAATAATTTACAAACTTCGTTTTCAAAATATTTTTCAGTTTAAAAAATATCAATAATAATTTATGAAAAGGTACCTATATATATAGGTACCTATATTTACCTACCTATAATGATAATTCATTATCATTATTACATCGTGAATTCCACTCTTTATTCGTTAGCCATATTATGCCAGACGGTACCTATACGTTTTATTTGTACCTACGTCTATGAGAATATAATTAATTTGTTTTATTACTTTCTGTTGTAGGCAACCTACCTATATTTATACCTACCTTTACATCCATGTTTACCACAGAACAATATTCTCGTAATAAATGTTTGCTAACGCTTAACAATAATTGAAGTGCGTATATAGGTATAGATATACTTGCCGAATAAAAACTATTATAATAAGTGTTAATTTTATGATGTTAGAATGTTTTTAATGTGATATTTATTTATTTGTAATGATATACAACGGAAGTAAACTACTCGTATCGTAAATTGGTGTAATAAAAAAAGTGGATTCTTGATTTTATGTTAACGGTGAATATCAAAAAAATTGTCTGTGATACAATATGTTTAGGTATATTTTAATTTATAGTTTATAGTTATAGTCATATAAATAGAGCTAATAACAGTGTTTATAGTTTTCTATGTTAAGTAATAATAGCTCAGAAGTGTGTTTTAAAAATCAAATATTGAAATATTCTCCTGGTGGTAAATACCTATTGTGTATAATAATCTGCCCGTCAGTGTTGTGTATTTATGTATGGATTTTCGGTTGTTTATCTAATAATGGTGTTGGGAAAAATGAATTATAATATATAATAATATAATTTGGTTATTCCCTACAAATAAGTAATACATATTTTATTGATAAAAATGATGACTTAATAATATAAGTTATATTATGTGTTTAAAATTAAAAATTCGTATTAAATCAAATATGAATAATATTACTATTCATAAATGGGTTCTTTTTTTTTACCGATCACTCTTAAATGCTAAATAATAATAACTTCATAAAAAATACATAAATAAATAACTATCAACACGCATGATTATAGGTATATTTATGACAATATTTTATTGAATTGTAAAAATTAAACATCAATAAATACAGCTGATATTGATCGTCGAGACCACTGCTGGCTAATATTATATTATATTATATTATAATATTATAATCGTCGTATAATACATGATATTATACATAATAAAGTTATGATGCGATACACTTAATAATATACATAAAAATAATTTTGACAAAAAATATAATTGAACACATATTGTACAACGTACATAATATAGGAGGTACCTATATATTATTATTATCGAGAATATAATTATAAACAATCGTGCATACGTGCATAATATGCGATAATCAGGACTCACTGAGTAAAAAGAATAATACGCGCGTACCTGTATAATAATATATATGCGATATATAGCGGCGTAATAGGTCTAGCATAGAATAATAATATAATAATAATATTTGTAAATCTCGTTGAAAAAAAAATATGATATAGATATTTTTGTTTTTCGAGGCTGACAACAAGTACTAAATAATATTTAAAAAAAATTTAAAAAAAAAAAAAAAACAAAAACAAAATCGTATCGTATGTCGTTATAGTGATAAATTATATGGCGCTCTCGCGTATACGCATATTAAATAATATTTTATATGTTTATGGGGCGGTCTTAGTGGTTATATAATATCGAGGTATATACCCATATAAGCGTTACGCGCAGTATAATAAAAAAACAGTAATATATATATATATAATATAATAATATATACCAAACACACTGTTCGGTGGGCGGTTGTCTCTCCGAGGCAGAGGAACGAGAGCCGAAAAGACAGAACAAAAATGTAATATAAATAATATAAAAATATAAGAAAGATGTATAATAATATATAACAAAACGTAATAAAAACCTCTTCAGCGATGACGGCGGCGGAGTTAATGATGGTGACGACGAAGACGATGAAGATGCGCGATATATAGCTGATATAATATTATGAGCATGCTCATGCAGGCTCGTGTCGCTTGTACCTAATGCGATATAATATTGTATGCGTGATCCTGCGGCTGCGGCACGCGTCACAGCTTGTCGAAAGCCCTGGAATTGGTGAGCAACTCTCTGGTCAGCCTCCACGTCTGCTTGGCCGCGTTCTCCAGGCTGCCGGGCGCCTTGCCTTTGAAAAGGTCGACGTGCGGCAAGAAGTAGTGCGGGCACCGTCGGCATTGCAGACAAGAGATGAGTTGCAGCAGTATGCCGTTGATGCGGTCGCCCAGGCACGGCTCATCCCACTCCATTTCAAGCGGGTGTTTCTCGCACTCGTACAGCAGCAGCGTCTTGATGTGGTAGTTGGTGACAGGGTTGCCGGGCAAGTCCAGATGCCGGTCCCTGAGCGTCTTGAGCACGCTCAGGCACCGCTTGCGGCAGCCACCGTACATGAGCCGGTTCTCGACGTCCACGAACGACATGACCCACGCGTCACCCTCAAGCGCTGATTGCTTGCCGTGCAGTGTCACGCACTCCTTGGACAGCAGGTCGAATCCCTCGGTCTTGACCTCGGCAACAAGGTTAGGGTGCGGCCACGGGATCTGTGGCAGCGGCCAGTGGGCGGACGACCGAGGCCATATGCCCGCGCACTTGAACGACGGCGTGATCTGTACCACGTACCGCTCGCGGATCCGGAGCTTCACCTCACTGGTGTCGGCGATCATCTTGACCGAATCCCGGTACGCGCACTTGTCGCACGCTTGCGCCACCAGCGTCTGAAACCGTGACCGGATCTTGCGGGCCGACAGGTACCCGGAAGCCGTGATGAACTCGACCCACAGGCTCATGCTCCGCTTGCGGCCGTCGCTCAGCTTGAGCACCGCGCACCCGGGCAGCGACCCGTCGTCGACGAAGTTGAGCACACCCATCTGGTTCAGGTAGAGCACGATCTCGAACTCGGTGGGTGACACCACGTCCAGGCCCTCGTACCGGCCGTTGCACTCGACCAACGAAGATATGAACCTCGGCTCCTGAGCCTCTACCTCCCGGAGCACGTCTTGTACCACCTTGCACACCTCTCGGATCGTCTTCACCGCGGCCGTCTTCCGGGCCATCACCCGTTCCGCCCAAAACTTGCCCAGCTGGTATGACATCTTCGTCTGGGCCGACAGCATGTCCTGTGGCACGAGCATCGCGGCTTCTGCGGCTGTTGCACCGGCACCGTGTCGCATGTCACCTGCTTGCTGCAGGTCAGCGGCGGCGGCAGACCCCGTTTCCGTCACGACATGATGACCGCTCCAATATTATGAAAATAATATATGACACGTTTATTATATATACGCGGACGGACTAGAAAACGAAACGATGTGTAGACTGATTGTGTATGATATGTAGATCGTGGCGGGTTCGCGTCGAGAATTATCGCCGTAATTTATGTGGGTGCGGAAGCGGCGGATTCTGTGCGATACGCGATGATGATTTATTTATTGTGACGTGAACGATGATATTAATATTGTTGTGGTCGTGTGCAGTGCGATCGACGTTAGACGTAATACTGCGGTATAGTGCGGCGGCGGCGACGGCGGTTACGGCGGCAGCTCGGTGGAACCACGACGACAACGACGGTATCGGATGGTGGCCCGCGTCGGGCGTTCCCGCTTGCCGACACGGTGGGGCGCGGTCCCGGGAGGCGTCGACTTCAGGGGAACGCCCATTTCGCGCGCGCGCTCGTCTCGCGGGACTATCGATCCGGGGCGGGTTCCAGGCCGCATACGACGAAATCGCAATACGACACGTTGATAATATTATAATGTTCTTCGCCGCCGCGTCGCATACGACGGATTTTGCGTCGCGACCGTACGGGCATGCTTTTTTTTCGCTTCTTTTCCCCCTATTTTGTTTTTTTCCCGTTTTGTTTTCGTTCCCGCGGTCCGCTTCTTTCCCGCATTACACAGATTCGTGTGCGTGTCTTCGCGTACCTAAGTCTTTTTCTTCGGATTTTTTTTTTTACCATCTTGACGTATTTTTTTCAATCCGTTTTATATTTATATGCTTTACACTTGCAGTATCCATATATATATATACCTATGTGTGTGTCGAGCTCACGTGTAAAGTATATTATATATACAGAGTGATTCCCTAACCATGTTACCCCCCCCCCCCCAAAAAAAAAAAAATGTTTTCCTTTAATATAATGAATTTATATTAAGATTCTGAATTTTGGAATTTTAAATATCTATATATATATAAGTACATATTACATAATATATAGGTACTTATGTTTTAAATTCTCCAGATTTTTGTATACTATATATAATTTATACTTCATATAATATGATAGGGTCCTAGCCCTGTCGATACAAACTTCTGTTTTTCAAATGAGAACCCCTTTTGTTATTGAAAATTATTTAGAGGGTATATAATGTTTTTGAAAATATTGATATATAGGTACTTAGGTATTTAGGAGGTGTATATTAAGCTATACCTAATTTCACAGTTATTACTTATTAAAGTGTATATTATATAGTCTATATCGAATATATAACACGTATATTGCAATATAGCCTATAAGTAATTTAATAATATAGATGATCTAGTATTTCTTATACCTGCATGGGACCTATTGTACAAATTAGGTATTATATAAATGTTGATGGATTAATATTAATTACTACGGTTTTTATATTACCGCATAGCCTCCGTGTCTTCTAAACCAATTATCATGAACATAGTATATTATTATTATTATATTATTGTCACAAAGTTAAACAAATAGTTCGAATTTTGATTTTAATTCTCCCAAAAAATGTTTAGGGAATTTCTGTGTTCCCAGAAGAATACTATTATTGACTTATTATAATTAATAGGTACCCATAATATATAGGTACCCATAAAAATCTCGATAATTTGAAATATATTGGTCTTTAAGTTAGTATATATGTGTACCTACCTACTTATTTAAAATTAAAAAATCACAATTTCAATATAAATTCATCATTTTAAAGGAAAAAATGCAGGGGGTGAGCCTGCTAGGTGAATCACCCTGTATATATATATATACCGCTGATGCTGGCTGTAACCATTTCTCTTCTTCTCTCTATCACGTATTTTTGTTTCTTTCTACGTGTATATATATATATATATATATATATATATATGACTTATGTATATATATTATATATATATATATATACACGCATAAACGCACGCATGCTCGGGCAGGAAATTCGATACTTTTTTTTTACCCTCGAAACGACGCTTTTTCATAATTTATTATACGAGCCAAATAGATATACTGATGTGTGTGTATGCGGTGTTTGGTGTTTTTTTTTCTTCATTCCGACTGTCTTCGCAGTCTTTATTGCTGCAGGAGAGTGCAGTATACACATATACATTTGTTACATATTATTATATATATATTTGTGTGAGTGTGTGTGTATATTTATGAGTACGACTATCCCCAAAGTTTAATCTGTTATATTTATATTATATACCTATAATACATATAATATGTCCTATGTATAAGTGCGTGTGTTTTATAATTTGATGTGTATAATATATGTATAGGTACAACGTCTATTTTTACTCATATTATTCATCCGGTCGATATAAATGGTTACAAGCAATTAATGTTTTACAACAAACGATTTTACATAAATTATACTTTATTATTTGTTTATTGATTGTATATCTATATATATAGATAGATACACGAGGTGGTGTCATTTTTTATCGGTATCTATATACATATAATCGTACTTATATATAGGTTTAGATACTTCCGAAAACGTTATTTAGTTAATGAAAACGTCTATAAGACAAGTTGTTCAATAAATGTATGTATATAATATATATAGTAATAGGTAAAAGTGTTTTAAGATTACCTATCGTATTTATTTAAAAAAAATACTAGATCGTTTGAAGAATTTTATTACATAATATACGCTTATTCCCAAATAATAGCTATCTATTAATCGTAACTTTAATACATTTTATATTCGATTATTATACCATAAAATTAGATTTTATGTCTAGTTAGATAATGGTAGGTACGTTTAAATTAACCGGTCGCAGTATTTTTTTTTTTTTATTATTAATAAAATAACCAGCTCTGACATAGCTATTGGGAAACTTATAGTTATTTCTTATAATCTTATGTATTAATTTGTTACACTTGGTTTCTAAAAGCAGTGCATTTAACCTATATTTCAGGAGTATTTGGAAGTGCATACTATATATATTAGCCAAATAATTAGGTACATATAGTGCGCGGTGCACATATGTATACAGATGACTTAAACGACACCAAACATCTCACAATGTTTATTATTAATTTGATGTAAATATCAGTTATCATCGGTACCAGCATAACGCATGCAGATAAAAACAATAGTTAGTAATTATTCATCTATCTATATTCTATATTCTATATCTATAACATACCCCTATAAGTTCTAATATTTATCGATATTTTTGCACATTTATTCTTTAAATTATTATGTACTTATATGTATAGACTATTAAATAAATAAACAACTCTTAGGTATATCATACTTATTTAGGACTTATATAGGTTGGTAATAATATTAATATATCATGAAATAAAGTAAAATATATTACATATATTTGTGTCAATACCGTGGTTACGGGACATATATAATATTAGGGCGCATCCGAATTGCGTGTGCAGGCAGGAAAGATTAAAAACCATATAACGATCAAGAAATGCACGCGAGATTTATTTTTGGTGAGCCCCAGTATTGCGTGCTGCGTTAATGATATAGCTAACATAATGTCACGGGCGGTATTTACTTAATTTATTTTATCGTAGATCTTGATGAAATATTAGATATATAGATAGGTAGGTATATATATATAGTATGGGTAGGCATTGTTAAATACTCGAAGAAGAGAAATGAGGATTTAATATGTCAAAATGTATATCTCACTGCAATTTATTCCATTCAAATCTATCAGTAAAAATATAGCATTCCTGCAGTCTCATACGGTCGATATATGGATTAAACACTATATAATATTTAGTGTCTCGAGCTTTACAGTGCATTTTGCAGCGGTTTCAAAACGAAGCAATTATATTATAGTTACCCTGCAGTATTTATGTCGGCTTATAATCAGATTGTAACGTTGTAGCAATATAAGTGTCATTTATTTTAACAATAATTTTACTATAATGGGGTGTACTGGTAAGTATAGAAATATAATATGTACTGCTTATATACCAAAGTGTAGGTATACCTATATAGTATACGTTACCTATTCAGAATATAGGCTATTCTAATAAAAAATACTCCAAAAAAATTCGCCTATATTATTAAATTATATGCCTATATTGTAGTTCTAATAAATTTTATTTTTTCAAGTAAATATTAATATGGTATATATAATATAATACTTTATGATACAAATAAACTCATTAGGTATAGGTATATCGCATAGCGTTAGGTACTTATAGGTACCTATATGAATGAAATTATGATTTTTCAAATAATTATTTGTAGGTATATATTGACCAGCTACCTCTATACAATACATAATAAGGTACCTATGTATGGATAATATAGATGTACAATTTTACGAAAGTAATGCTTCTTGTCTATATTTTGTAGTAGGTGTAACCTGCAATCATAATATATTATAAATTATAATATATTATGTTCTATCGTATATTCGTATATTCAAAAATACAAGACTTTTTAATATTTTCAGTAATTTTATTTTGTTGTTTAATTTAGTATATAGGCATATATTATATTGTTTATAAATAATGCATTCTATTTATATAGGTAGGATAAAAAATTTACAAATACAATGTATTTATTATTTTGAGCTATTAAGACATTAAAAAGAAGAAAGCTGTTAATGAAGAATATATGTATAACAATATAATATATCCGTCTAAATCGCATATATAGTTAAAAAGTCAATCTTATCAATAATGTTATCAGTATAATAAGTAAGTAATAATAATACATGTAATAAATAATTATAAAATAACTATTAAGTACCTACCTATACGAACAAAACGGTATAGCTATAGCATATTGTATTATTACTATTATATAATCGTTCTACTACATCTAATATTGCACACATACAACAAAAACAAAAAAAAAACAATATTATTCTAACTTAATAATTAAAAACATTTTATCAAAAAAAAAAAAAAAAAATAGGTAATAAAATAGAAGTAGTTATAATTATAGTACTAATAACGATATAGGTAGAATAATATAATAATAATCATTAAAATAATTATAAATAATATATATTAAACCATTAATGATCACACGTGAGTATGCCATATATATAATTTATATATATGTACCTAAATATCTAACGTAAAGTGCGTAAACTACAGAGGATAATCGTTATCGGTCTACAATATATAGAGATCTTTCTGGGCGGCTGCATTGCGTTTACATTTAGCTTTAATAAATTAATAATAATAATGTATTATATAATCATCGTCACGCATTGCGACTTCCGCATGTATTAATATAATACCTATATAGTATATATATATATATATAAATAGTATATAAAATATTATATAATTTATATAAAGTTAGATATATTATTATAAATGATAATATACTAATACTATATTATATATAATATATATCATCGATTTCAGCGTCCGACGGAAACGCGTTGACTAGCTATTATTAGGTGTGGCGTATACAGCATAGTAAGAATATTATATTATATAATATAATAGATATACTAAATTGTACGTAATTTATTACATTGTATGCTCGAACGCGATGCGATGTGAAAAAAAATACGGTGAAACCTCTGACTATAATAATATACCTCCGAATAACGGACTATAAACTTTCGTCGTTTCCGATCGATAGAGTGTATCCCTAGTGTCCATAGAGGTTTCACTCTGTGATAACTACACACACACATAATGATAATAAATTATAATAATATATTATACAAAATATACGCGTCGAGGCGGACGGGCCGCGAGGTCCCTCAGAGCTTGTCGAAGGCCCTAGAGTTGGTGAGTATCTCTCGGCTGAGACGCCACACGTGTTTGGACGCGCTCTCCAGGGACGCTGGGGTCTTACCCTTGAACAGGTCTAGGTGCGGGATGAAGTAGTGAGGACACCGGCGACACTGCAGGCACGAAATGAGCTGCAGCAGTATACCGTTGATGCGGTCCGCGATGCCCGTCTCCTCCCACTCGGCGTCCCGCGGGTGTTTCTCGCACTCGTACAGCAGCAGCGTCTTGATGTGATAGTTGGTGATCGGGTTGCCGGGAAGGTCCAGGTGCCTGTCCCTGAGAGTCTTGAGTATGCTCAGGCAACGCTTCCGGCAGCCACCATAAAGCAGCTGGTTCTCGACGTCCGTGAACGACATCACCCACGCGTCGCCCTCCATCGAGTTCTGCTTGCCGTGCATGATGACGCTGTCCTTGGACAGCAGGTCGAACCCCTCGGTCTTTACCTGCACGATGAGGTTGGGGTGCGGCCATGTGAGCTGTGGCACCGGCCAGTGGGCAGCCGACCGCGGCCACACGCCCGCGCACTTGAACGACGGAGTGATCTGCACCACGTACCGGTCCCGGATCCGGAGCTTCACCTCTCCTGTGTCCGACATCATCTTGACCGAGTCCCGGTACGCGCACTTATCACACGCTTGCGCCACCAGCGTCTGAAACCGGGACCGGATCTTGCGGGCCGACAGGTACCCGGAAGCCGTGATGAACTCGACCCACAGGCTCATGCTCCGCTTGCGTCCGTCGCTCAGCTTGAGCACCGCGCACCCGGGCAGCGACCCGTCGTCGACGAAGTTGAACACTCCCATCTGGTTCAGGTAGAGCACGATCTCGAACTCGGTGGCCGACACCACTTCCAGGCCCTCGTACCGGCCGTTGCATTCGGCCAGCGAAGATATGAACCGCGGCTCCTGGGCTTCCACCTCGTGCAGCACCGTCTGCACCACCTTGCACACCTCCCGCACCGCCTTGGCCGTGGCCGTCTTCCTAGTCTCCACCCGTTCCACGCAGTATTTGTTCAGCTGGTACAGCATCTTAGATTGCGTGGCCAACATGTCCGACGGCAACAGCATGCCCGCGGTCAGCCGTACGCGCGAATCCCGTCACGATAACCGCCGTGTATTTACTATTACGCGTATATATGTATATTAGTTAGTATACGGTGTCGCGCACGACATAAAAGCGGTATTCTACAATCTCCCTGCGTCGTCGGTCACTGCAGCCGTAATGTACTGATCCTGTGGCGGTGTGGCTGTCGCGTGCGGCCCGTGTGATCCGTTCGGTCCGTTTGCGCGCGTGCGGCGGCTGCGTCGGGCGATCGAACTGCCGGGTCGCCGCCGAGTTCTCGACCCACCGGTTACAGCGGCCACCCAGGTCACGCCCACCCGACCAATGGCTTGCGACCCGCCCGTCGCGCGCGCCGCCGCGGATCGATATCGGCGGCGTCGTCGGCGGTCGGATCGCAGCTACACAGTGCTCTGCAATCGCGCCTTTTTTTCCCTCTTCGCCTAGAACCACGGTCGTATATCTTGCACCAATAATATAGGATATAGTGTCGTCTATATCCATTTGTTCTCTTTTTCTTCGAAGCCTACTCAGTATACGTTTAGTAATAATATAATATTTACTATATATTATATAGTTGCGTAACCTAAAGACTATGACCTGGAGAAATACAACAAACTTGAAATACGGTGTACCTATAGGTTTTAGTGTGACATCGGTATGTAACTCTCTTTGTGAACTTTAATTCGACCGAGAATATATATTAGCTATAGCTAGGATCCCTGTGACGGATAATAATTGGTTATATAGGCCACTCGGTAGGTATCTATATTTTCGAACTTGGAGGTTCAAACCACTCTTTATATAAACTTTCCTGATATAACTCTATAAGAACGATATCTGAAACTTTCGTCTGAATTTGTTGAAAAATTTTTGAGTCTACCTATATATAATATAATATCTAATGTACATCAATTAATATACTGTGACATAGCATTTGGTTATTCTATACAGGGCCGTGTTAAGGAGGGGGAGAAATGGGGCAATTTCCCCCGGGCGCCATGGTTTTTTAAAAGTAAGAGGCGCCTTTATTTGCTCTTAATATGCTACCTAGGGACTAAATTGAAGGGAAGGGGCGCGAATTGCTCCGGGGCGCTGAATATTGCTTGACATGGCTCTGCAGATTGTATACGCGTACCTATATTTAAATATAATATACAATTATTGATTTCTTTTATTTATTTATTTTTGATTTCCTTGAGCCCAAATTAATTTTATATGTGAGCCACCTTATATAGGATAGAAACCTATATAAGGGTTAAAAAATGAAGAACTAAGAATATCCTCGAGTTTCAATAAATATATAGGTAAATGTGCGCCCATCGGCTTATTATAGTATATAGGTACCTACTTATAGTTTATTACTGTCATTATATATAGTTGCCTAGTCTATAGGTAAGCCCGGCCCTAATATACAAACGTAGTTAAATATATATTAATTAACATACATATAGATAAATTTTGTGAATATATAATGTATAGGTATTATTGGTAATTATATACCTTTATATATATTAGGTTCTGGTTCTTTTGCGTATTCTGTTTTTATTTTTTCCGAAAATATTCTCTACTCCTCGAACAGGTGCGAAAACTTAGCGGTTTTATAGTTCTCTCACGACACTTTCGTAAAAGGTATTCGCATATACACTTGCACTATTATAACTATATAGACGCATGCTATATATACCTACAGTGCAGCGGTGTGTGTACTGTGTAGATCTTTATACGAGTTTCGTTCCAAATACAATGGCTGTTTCGAACCTATACAGTATACACGCACTTATAACTTATAAACTATGTATCTACCTTATAGGTATGTATATAATATATATATATATATATTTGACCCATATATATTTGTTAAAATAATGACGATTTAAATGCATATTATAATATACGTATTAGGTAATAGCTGGTATAGGAGCGGTATATGTATATAGGTACTTAAATAATATATAATATGTATACTATGCAGGCTGCGGCGTAGTGTATATATACATATATATAGTCTTTGCATATTATATATACAATACAATATAGGTATATATATATATCATATTATGAATGTGTTTGTGCTCGAGCGCGGTAAGTTTTTTTTATGTGCTCACATAGATCCGCCGCTGCAATATATACCGTTTGATATATCGTCTAAATATAGGTATAATGCAGGTAGGTAGGTACCTATAGTATTCTAATGTGACTGTATGTAAATCTTCACTCACTCACTACTGCACGCCGCAGCCTTATTCATTGGTCGTATTTGTCTTGCGAAACTCTTCTAATTGACCGGAATTTCTATACGCATTCCGCATATTATTCCGCGGCCAAACGGTGAGATCCATAAATGTCTCGTTTAATACACGCAACTATATATGTACCTGTGCATTGTTTTCGTGCGTAGGTGCCTATTATAAATGCCTATATTATGTATATAATTATAATACACGTATTTTATACAGTATCATTTGTAACTATCGTATATATATAAAGATTTTAAAAATTGGTTAACGCTAATAATAAGCAGGTCATTTAAACTCTAACTTATTGCACATTGTTATATACTATACTTACCTACTATATATAGAGTAAAATGTTACATATCTATATAATATGTATAATATATATGAGTATTTTACTCGAAATATATAACCTTAAACGTAGGAATATTTTAATTATACTTAATTCCTCGTGTATATTTATGTAGGTATATTTATATTTTATATATATACAAAGTATATGAGCCTTTAATATGTACCTATACTGTATAGCTCTATATAGGTATTATAATGGCATACACAATTAGTTCACAAAAATGGTTTTTTTTTTTAATTGTTTGAATTTTGTTTTATTAATGGAAAATTAAAACATAAAAATATATCAATACCTCATATTTGTTATGAATACATTTTCAATAAGGAACTTTCCACTATTTCCAGTGATTTAATTATAATGCTACAAATTATACCTTCATATGCCATGATTTATTTCTATTTTAGAGGTGAATATAATATATACACATACACTTCAAATATTATGCATATATATATTATAATATTAAGTTTGCACTTTGCACTTAATCTAAACATAGGTAAATAGTAACTATACCTACCTATATAATATATTATGTTACATAGAATATAATTTCTTATTTATGTAACCTACCTTGAATCATTCATATATAGGTAATAGAAAAAGCCGGTGTAACAGAATAAATATGTGTCTCACATACCTACCTATATAATATTTAATGGAACACATTATAATAATAGTAGGTATAGTATGTTATGGACTTTATACCTTTCTGGTATATAATACTTTGATAATTAATGCTGTCATTTTTTTTTTATTTTTTAAATAAAATTAATGTTATGCCTCGCTATAGAAAACATGTATTTCTAATTACTAGTTTAAGATGCATCGTATTGGCGTAGGTATATTATATATTCGACAAAAAGATGTGATGTACTTATAACTCTTATATATATATATATATATATATATTAAATAGTTTAAGACACAAATACATAAATCTTTATACTTTTTTATGTATGTGTAGGCTCAAATTTATACGGGGTTATTAGATAACAATTCAAATGTACAGAACTGTCTTGTTTGCGTACGTTTTTGTAAAATAAAATAGTTGCATTTCAAAATAAATATTATATTCAATTTGTATATAATGCACATTTTCGAAACACATTATAAATTTATACAAGAAAATTGTGTTTTATATTTTATAAAGCCCATTCAAATAGCCGCTGTGATCTTATTTTTAACCCACTTCTGTTATGCAAATTACTATTCGTCTTCTTGGTACATTTGTGTGGTGATGAAAAAAAAAAATTAAAAACACCCATTTCATATTAAATTTGTTCAATATAGTAACATTTTATTTTTTACATTTTTTCAATTTTTCAATTGGGGTGATTCCTGCCGATAGCGATATTACGACGTATACAGGCCGTCATATTGAGGAGCAAACCGCGGAAAATTATAGTGAATATTAACAGCGACCTGTCGCTACTATTACGTCAATTTTTGATTACCTACACGCTCACTGCACGCACATATATGTACATTTTATTTACTTATTAAGTCTAAGTCCGTCCCCTCTGTGAAATGGTCGGCTCTTTATGTATATATATACCTAGCTACCTCTCGTAATCCTCGAGACCGGAGTTATGGTCGCGCTCTTATACACGCAGTATATATGTGCGTATATACCAGTATATGTATGTGCGCGTGCGTCCTCGTGGGGGATGAACGTCACTTCGGATTACTGTGGCAATTTGTCGTCGTCTCTGGTGGCGTAAAGCATATCTCTGGGGGGCGCTCGCGAAACTCAATACAATGGAAAATATTACTTTTCCTGTAGTTTTATAATATGTATATATAGGTATAATATATAGTTCTAGTGTGAGGGATCGTAAAAGAATAACGACTATAGAAATAAAACAAACACGTTATGCATGTGGGAAGGAGCGCGCATACATCATATAGAATATGCGTATGATGATTACAATATATAATAAATTATTAATAATAATAATAAAATAATAATAGATTGCCTGTAACCAGTTCATGAAGTTCATCAAAAAAGTGAGACTGTCAATCTGCAAAAAAAAACAATATTTTTGTGAAATCCATATACTTCCTGCAGTTCATCAAAAATACGCGGTTGAACAAATAATATATAGGTTTACTTATTTTCAGCTTGTTTTGAAATTCTTCGTTTATTGGTATAGTGCGTGTTTGCATTAAATATATTATATAATAATATAAAACGTTGATCACTTATCTTTCAATTGGCAATTAGTAGGTAACTGCGTACCTGTATATAAAGTGGCTCATAGTCGCGATCGTGTTATATATATTATTTATATAAGTTACTATATACGCAGCCTTCTTGTCGTCTTGTATATAGTATTATAATGATATAAATTCAAAAACATTAGTATTTGTCTTTAAATAATAGTGATTTTAGTGCTTGACATGCAAATTAGCAATTATAATATAATTACCGAAAATAATACTATAGGTACTATGTTCATTTAAAATGTATTTTTTATATGAAAAAAATTAGCGTCTATAATTGTTGTAAAAACAATTTAAATTAATAACAATATTTTTTTTATTACTAATTTTGAATTTTGATGTAATTTAATTTTAGTGCAATATAAATCGAAATTTGGACGTATATATAGCTTATAAATTGGGAATACCAGCTGTGTTTAAACTTTTAGAGTTTAGATATAATTTTATAGTGAGGTAAATACCACAAATAATGTAGGTCTTCTACTCCGCTCGTAAAAACTTTTAAGTTCTTATTAGTTATAAATTCATAACTTATCACTAATAAACTATATACTTGCTTGAAATTTGATTTTTATATATAAATTGAAATATCTACAACGAAAAATATTCTGCTCAGAAGTAAGCAATTAAAAATGTGTATACCTATATCAATAGAGTAAACAATTTTAAACAAATGATTACGGTAAAAA